CAAGAAAATTCTATTACAGTGAACCACATTATTTAAATGGATTTCTTCGCCAGTTAGTCGTCTGTCACTTCGTTTGTGCTATAAGCCTGGCCGCAGTCTTAGTGAGTGCCGCACAAGCGAAATGGAACGTTCCATTGCACGGACCTACACACGTAACTGGGAGCCCACTCATAGCAATAGACTGCTCGCATACATTACACACATCCATTCTACCAAATTAAACGCTAACACTGTTAGCAGCAGACATATACAGGGGAGTAGAACACAAAATAATATTTTACCGCCACAGCTCACTATACAAATCAATAGCGCGCCGGGGGGAAAAATACAAAATTAAACAAAAACTAGTTGCTAGGCAACCTTTCCTCTACTTATCCTGTTAGAAAAACACCACGGGTACGCGTTGGAATAATCCTTTCGCGGCACACGCCACTATTTCACACGAAATTATGAATTTATTTTCACAGCACAACTCAACAAAAACACTACTTTGTACGCCATAGCATACCAGTTGAAGAGAGAGAATGAATGTTTAAAGCAAGATATCGACAAATTGAAAGATACTCAACAAACTTTGTCGAAAACGGTACATAAGCTGAAACATCAAGTAGATAAAAGTAACCGTGATAAAAATTGCAAAAATGCGGTAATTCTCGGTGTCCCATTTATCACTGGTGAAAATACTAAAGAAATTTTTCAAAAAGTTATTGCTTGTTTTGGCGTAACTGTAAATTCTGATGAGATAGTTTCTGCCGCTAGGTTAAATGCTAAAAATAAACCAATACATTCACTGGTACCTATTCGTGTTATCTTTAAAAACGAAAATATCAAGGAGATCGTTTTCTTTAAAAAAAAGGGGAATCGGTAAGCTACTCTCATCATCAACCGATCCAAGTTATATGATCAACGCTAAGCCAACAACCGTCACAATGCGCGATGAATTGACCCCACAGCTTTTAACTGAAATGAGAGGGTATTAGGAGAAGTTGCAACTAAAATATGTTTGGTGCAGTAGAGGGGGAAATGTCCATTGTAGTTTTTTTTTTTCCTTTTGTATGTTTTTTCCGTCGATCTTGTTTTCCGTGCTGAGCACCAATGCTTCCGACGTGCCAGGAAGGCAGCTCCCACACCTGGACCCTACCTATCGACCCATCAACTCATGAACCGGGGACCAACGGCTTTACTTCCCATCCGAAGGAAGGCGTGATCAGAGATGTTATGCCTCAGAACATCTCGACGGCGCCGACTGGGATTGAACCCAGGCCTGCTGGGGTGAGAGGTAATCACGCTTACCACTACACCACCAGCGCCGTTGAGGGGGAAATGTATTAGTAAAGAAAAATGAGAATTCTAAGCCTGAGATTATAAAAACTAGGGATGATATAATTGAATTGGTTAGCCGTTATAGCGGAAAATCTCCGTCAAAAGAAACTCCTTCTCACAAGAGGAAACGTAATGATAATAACTCCAATAAGTAATCTTTTATAAATGTATGTGTTTTATGATTTTCTTTGTCAATTTGTAAACTTAATAAAATAAAATGGCTAATGGAATAAATTATTACCATGATTATCCTGAAAGTAGTGATCATTTTCTTCGTATAGCACAATGGAATGTAAGAGGAATAAATAACAAGTCTAAGTTTGATAACATTCTTTTGTTCTTAGATAATATAAAAATACCTATTGATGTGTTTGTTGTGGGTGAAACGTGGCTGAAAGCTGATAATTGTCCCTTGTTCAGTATACCCAATTATAATTCAATATTTTCTTGTCGTGATACGTCCTCTGCTGGTCTTGCAGTTTATGTCAAGAATGGGTTGAGCTTTAATGTAAAGAAAAACATTTCTATTGATGGAATGCACTTAATTCATATTGAAATTGATATAAATGGATTGATCTACGATATCGTAGGAGTTTACAGACCTCCATCGTTCGATTTCAATCGATGTCATAATGAACTGGAGAGTTTGTTGTCAACTCAGGGTTCACGTCCGCTTTTTATTGTCGGTGACATGAATATTCCAATAAATTTAATTAATAACAATATTGTTTGTCGTTATACAAGTTTATTGGAATCACATGATTATATTTGTTCGAATATATATACAACTCGCCCAGTTAGTAATAACATTTTAGACCATGTTATTGGACGAAAAGAGGATATTGCTTGTACAAAAAATGATACAATTTATTCGGATATCAGTGATCACTTAGTAATTGTTTCATCCTTCAGAATAAGCAATCCAAAAGAACATCCAAAAGAAAAATCCTTATAATGATCATCTGAAAGAAATGTTGAAACATATAACAAAAAAGACGATACAGCACTTTTTTACCCAAATCAGGATACTGCATCTATCGTTTCCTGCATAAACGATGATTTACAGGTACTCATGAGATACTTTGATACTAACTTACTCTCGTTAAACTTATCAAAGACTCCGTCAATTGGGTCTAACGTAATAGAGAAAGTATCAAGTTTTAAATATTTGAGCTTGGTATTAGATCCTACGCTCTCTTGGGGATCATATAGAACATGTACGTACAATGCAAAGTATCATCTCTATGTGGCCTAATGTATCGTGTTAGTAAATTTGTGCCTAGGAACCCACTTCTAACTTTTTATCCTGGCTGTATTCATTCTCATCTGCAGTACTTAATCATCGTTTGGGGACATGCTTGCAAGGCTAAACTAAAAAACTTGCAAGTATTGCAAAATAGGTGCATAAAAATCATCTATCACCTTCCACAATTGTTTTCCACTCTTCAACTCTACGCAAATAATTCGCACAGTATTCTCCCGCTACGCGGTTTGTGCAAGTTACAGTCTTGTTTGTTTATATATGATTCGCTAAAAAATCCCAACATGCATCGTAACCTCATTTAACCGATCACAAATCATGATCATAATACTCGGTATGCGAATAACCTAATACGCTCGAGAGCATTCACATGCCTCGGTCAAATATGAATTTCTTTTTATGGTCCATCTGTGTACAATGCACTTCCGAAATGTTTGAAAAGCTTAAACAACCGACTATTTTTCAAAACCAGTTTAAAGCGATACTACAACTCCAAAATCAACGAGTTCTTGATATAAATTCGTGTCAACTATCGATTTATAATTATAAAATTTACACTCTTTACGCTAAGCTTAAGATAATAAATTGTATATATTAATTAATTGAATTGTTTATGAGTTGAGGATCCCTTCAAAGGAACTTTGTTCCACTGGGTACATCCTAACCTTGTTAATGATTGTTATTTTGCATCACACACCTTTAAAATTAGTAATGTTATATTTATATGTCTATATGTTTTCTCTTGTAACGTTAAAAAAAATATTATCGAGGAGTCCACTACCAGGGGGCTCTCAGTGTGAGCTCTTTGGTGTGGGAGTGTGTTGGCGGGACTCATAAAAAAATAGTGCTCCCAATTACTTGTTTCGTCAGATGGTGACTTGAGTGTAAAAAATCGTTAGAACTTTTACCGCACATCGTAGGTATATGAGCATGTCGGCCATCATCTATTTTGCCAGTGGTGGCGGAGGGGGCATCTTCATCTATGTAAATCGTTAACTTCACGCATGAAATAATTCTCGCGTCACTTTTCAAATAGACCAATGTAACATATCCACCATTTTGAGAAAATCGATGTTGAAGTTCGACAGTTTATTATTTTATCTGTTTAAAAACAATACATTTTGCAATACTATTTTTAATGTAGTCAGCGTATAATAACGTTTAAAATTTAGAAGAAACGGTAAAATCACAATTTTACTTTGAATTTAATGCTACATCATAGAAAAAAAACTACAGAGGACGTATTGACAAGTCGAGTTGTACATCGGACATGTTACATTGGACGATTTTTCTCAATGACATAATCAATGAGTGTTACATTGGACGTTTTGTCTACATGAAACAAGATTCCCTTTCAAACATTTCAGAGTATAGTACCTAACTTTAGATTGGCCCCGCCTTTGGAAAATGAGCACCAATCATGTTAGGCAGTTCGAATGACCGAATTAACAATCATGTACCCATCATTTCAAACTGTACATTGGACAATTTTTGATCAATGATTATCTTAAATAAATTAAAGTAAATTTGGATGGATGTTTTTGTATCACATACAATGATAGAAGAGCAATCGTTTGTATCGCTTAACTCGATTTGTTTACATTTGTTACTTAAGACCTATTGAAAAGTGATGCGAGAATTCACACATGTTTAGCTAAAGTGCTATCATATTTTTCATCAAACACGCATTTAACGATCAATTTAAATATGTCTTAGTTGGTAGTGCCGTCGCTTGGGGCGCGCATAGTCAATTCCCTTGCGTTTGACATTTACACGCTAGCGCCATATCAGTGCCAACATTTCAAAGGAGCGTAATTGTATTTGTAAACAATGGCTTTAGCCGTCGATTTCTCGCGAATAAAAGCTCACTCATGAAAAATAATGACACCAGCAGGTAGAGGAATGTTTCCTTTACCAGCTAGCATTGTTATTTTGGAGAGGTAAAATTTCATTCGCGAGAAATTTACGGGTAAAGTCATTGTTTACAAAAGCAATTACGCCCCTTTGAAATGTTGGCACTGATATGTTGATAGTACTGCGAAATGTGGAATTCACATGATTTTCTTATGATTGTTTTCATCTAAATTTAATTTGTTTCATATCAAGATGGTAGGAGGAAAAATACGAACGCACATTTGAAATTCAAACTTCGAAGGCAAATAACTGCCCCGGGCCCCCGGAGCCTAAATCTGGCACTGGAACACATTCAAAACATGTATTAATATGAAAGTTTTTAAAATTAAAAACTGCTAATGAACTCTAGAAACGCTTCATGAAGGTTTCTCAAGGAATTCCTACTACAAAACATTTCATCAACATCGTAAAAAATTAAAATTATAAAATGCACCATATTTTCGACTCGGTTATAGTGCAGCCTCTTTGACGTGATTTTAATTTTAGGTTTATTTCTCCGCAGGATCATTGACAGACGAGCCGGATTCTGATACTTCGCGAAATCTCCTATCCGTGTTTCTTCATATCCGCGATACACCCAGTACTGTAATCGTAACATAATAACAGGTAAGTCGTAAATTTTTCTCAAGGGGCGACAGATAAGTAAGGGCGAAATTCAAAAGATGTGCAGATCGAGAGCTTCACCAAAGTGAAGCAATAGAATTTCAAAATTATCGGTATGACAAAAATCCTCTGTAAGGGTGACATTGCATTAGATAAGAAAGAGAACTTCATGAGGACGGAGTATTAGAATTTCAAAATTATCAACGATGTGGCAATGGTCCTCTGTTCAGATGTCATTTCTAAAACAAGAATGTCGAGAGCTTCACGATGACGGATCATAAGAATTATTATATTATCAATGAGGTGACAATGATATTCTGTTGAAACTTTATTCCAAAAAAATTGTCTATCGAGAACTTTATAAGGACGAAGCATTAGAATTGCAAAAACATATCAACGATATGGCTATGGTCCACTGGAAGGGTGACATTCCTGAAATAATATTTTCAAGGACTTCATCAGTATGAAGTATTAGAATTTTACCGAGAGCTTCATAAGGACGAATTGCAAAATTATCAACGACGTGGCGATGGTCCTTTGTAAAGAAGATATTCCTGAAAATGAAAATATCGACTACTTCATGAATAGCCATATCTGAAAATTATCAAGGTGACAATGATCCTATGTTCACATATTTAAAACTTCAAAAGGACAATATATGAAAATTTCAAAATTTTCAACGAGGTGGCAATAGCATCATAGTCCAGCCATTTGCTTGTTTAAGGCTCAATTCAGGCATGTCCAAACACATCACGGCACTGCGTACGGAATTTTTTATCTAGCCTAAACAGTTCAATGAATGTCACACTAGCGCTACCGGGTGAGTGAATTCTGAATTAAACTCTTTGCCAAGATAGGTCTTGACCATTTGATCAACTTTACTGATAATGGAAATCTTTTATTTAGTCCATATGTTTTAAATAAAACAGCAAAAACGGTTATCTTCCATTTAATGCAACTAAATTAATTTTGGTATCCATGACAGATACGTATTTCGACTACAATGTGCAGTCTTCATCAGTGTCATTCCCACAAAAGAACTTCTCAAAATCTAATCCCAAAACTCATCCTCTAAGTAAAAATGTCAAGATGCCAGATATAAAAATGAAATTACAATGTGTAGAATCGGAACCTACCTAACTAATAAAAACCAAAGATTTAAGTAAACTAAAGGAGAAAAATCTATGCAACTCTCTTATAAGAAAATGCTTGGTAGCCATCATAATAAGTATCTATCATGGATACCAACATTAACTAAGTGGAATTAAATGGAACATAACATTTTTTGCTGCTTTATTTAAGCATTCTGCTAACAACCCAATTTCATTACTTCATTGTGATGGCTACCAAGCCTTTGGAAATTTTCGTTATTAGAGAGTTGTATAGATTTTTCTCCTTTATAACATTGAAAATACTCCAGCAACTGCTAGGTTGCAGAAAATGCTCACTAGAGATCATTCCAATGGGCTGGAAACTTTAAAAAAAAAAGAAAAAAAGATGGTTCTTTAACTACTTCTACTAATGAAACGTTAGAGTTGATTATGAGAACACATTTTCCATATTCTATTATCAATTTAAACGAAGACCAAAACGCAACGAAAACAGCAATTGGTATCGATGAGCCCAGGACGAATATTCATGAAATATTGAATGAAACGATTGAGTTAGACAGAACAAAAGCTGATGCTTGCACTTTGGCCAACATAATCTTTACTGAAGAAAAGATGAATGGGCGATTGACTCTTTTGAACCTTGCAAGTAACCAGGTAGGGATGGAATTTTTCTTGTACTACTATAAAAGGGAAAAGTGGTTTTAACGCCTATTCTAACAAAGCTAATTTAAGCAAGCTGGTGAACTTGGGATACATATTAAGCTTTATACGGGCAGTGTGGCGACAAGTGCGAATTATTTTTATCCCCAAGGCTAATAAAAAGGATAAAACTTCACCAAAATCCTTCAGGCCAATAAGATTATCGTCTTTTATGCTAAAAATAATGAAAAAAAGACAATAGATGAACACATAAAGTCAGCGTATCTAGTTAGAAATCCTCTGAGCAAATATTAGTTTGCATACAAGGAAGGTAACTCGTCAGTAATGGAGTGCTGTTACGGTTGTTACAAAACTAGAAAGATCTTTTGAAGCCAAAGAAATTTCAATTGCTGTATTCCTTGACATTGAAGGTGCATTCGATAATTCATCTCACGATTCAATGACTACAACGTGGCTTCGATCAAAGCATTGTAAATTGGATCAATGAGATGTTATCAAAAAGAGAAATATCAGCAAACCTTGGAAGCTCACTCATCAGTGTAAGAGCAACGAAAGGATGCCCGCAAGAAGACGTGTGATCACCTCTATTGTGGTCTTTAATAGTTGATGATCTTCTCAAAAATTTAATAGCTCAAGGCTTTGAAATAATTGGCCTCGCAGATCTTAATTTACACTTATCCTCACGCGAAAACTAATATTTGTTTGATTTGGTACAATTAAAAAATATGCGAAAAACACATGAAATCAGCGCCAGCAAAAACAAAACCAACCGTTCGCCGGACAAATAATATTTTTTGAAGGTCGAATGAAAACAATTATGTGTTTCACACATAAATTTCATTTGCGAAATCACATGGCAAAAATCTATGATCAATTTTCTCAGTGTAGTCGAAAACATTTCACTAGGTTTGACCAGAAAATTGAAACTCTGTTCATAGTGACTATGTGAGTACTACTAGTGTTTCAAAAACGAAGCTCTAGGCTTATGTGGAAGTTTTATAAGTTAGGTTTTGGAAGCGTTGGGAGAAATTTTCCATTTTTGTAAATAAGAAGAGACAATATCTAAACTTTTCTGCAGTATGCTGCAAATAACACGAAGATTTCTTCCTATAGTGGAAATGCCTGCAACTCTGAGGCAAATCAGGGAGATCCGAAGTGAAATTTGTTACAATATCGTCCCAAATATGCTACCCTGAGGAACACCAGATCTAACACTGTAGAATGCTTTTTATATCTATATAAGAGCAATGTCCAGATTATTTTGAACGAATAGACATGAAATACTTATGATAAATGTTACTAATAGATTATTCTTTTCTTTCTAGGGAAATAATGGAGCCCACCAAGGACCCATTGGCCTATGCATGGGGTGGCAATACTGGAAATCATGGCAACAAATACAAAGAAGATTTAACGTTGGTGCTGTTTGAGCGAGCATCTTTCGGGAAATCAGAATTCAAACTTGCCTCAGAAATGAAGGACGCTGGAAAATTTGATGGCGTAGTCATAATTTTCGAAGAACAGGAGGAAATGTGGTTAATTCAAACCAAACACAAAGGCAGCTCAGGTGATACAAAACCATTATCGTTCGACAATTTTTTTCCGAAGATGTTCAAGGATAATCAAGATTTTGCTCTTGTGAAGTACATACAGTCATATTTAGATGTCATTCAAAAAGATGTATTCAAGAAGTATAAGAAACGATTTTTTATCCTAACCAATAAATCATTAGACGTTAGCGATGAAAAGCTTAAGGAATTGGTGGACATCGAGATCTGTGAACAAAGTGAAGTGAACCCAATAATGAAGTTAGCTAAATCCGACAATTGCTACATAAGATTCAGACCAAAAGAGGATAACATTGAAGAATTACTGAATTTGATGAACACCGAAATAACTGCCATTAGGGATGCAATCATTGAACTCTTCAAAAGTGGAAAAGTTTCGGACATACTGACAAAGTACAAAACACAATTGCAGAAGATCCTGACAGTTTCATGTGGAAATCTAAAGTTCACCGATAATTTCTTAAACCATCAGGTCAATACCTCCCATCTATGGTTGTACAATGAGCTACGAAATAAGATTCATAAAAAATCAACGGTAAACATAGAAACAAATCAAGCGATTCAAAATCTGATGAAAGGTAAATCTAGGGACACACAACTACCTCTATATATAAATGAAGAACGCGTGAGCAAGTTCTTTCAGCATCTAACTTTCTGTGTAGACCAACCAAATGATCTAATGACAACCGTCAAGGATGATCTTCGCTCATGGATGAGAACTTGGATTCTACCGGACAATCTTGGCAAAGCACAATTAGAGCTGCCTTTCTTTAAATTTTATCAATGTTTTAAAGATTGGATCAATCTTAGTAGTGACAAGCATACACAAAAGATTTACTTAACTGGAGCCGAGGGACGTAAGTGTGTCAAAGACATAACGGAAGAACTGAGTCATAATTTATCACAACGTGAAAGCGAGTACATAGGAAGAAAATTAATTGCAAATAATCATATTGTAAGCGACCATGATTTCATCAAACGATTAATAGACGACCCAGAAGAGAGCAAATTTTCTCTCTTCATCGGAGAGCCTGGTATGGGAAAAACAACTATCCTCCAATACATTGCCTTCGAAGTTCAAAAGAAATCCGATATTGATGTGTTCTTGATATATTTGAATAACCTACAGGAAATGCTCAAAACGGGCTGTGAAAACTTAGAAACGGTTTACACAATTCTTAAACCGACTCTTTCAAAAACAAGCTTGACAATATTAAAAAACAATCTAGAAAGCAACGCAAATCGGTCTATAATCATATTTGATGGGTTCGATGAGATCACTTTTCATGACGAGGCAATCGCCATGTTTAAGCAAATATTGTCAAAGAAGAATAATCGAGTGATTGTAAGTGGAAGATATCATGTCAAATGTATTCTTGAAACAACTTTTAGAATAGGGGCAATCAGATTGATTCCATTTGAAAAAGATGCACAAATGATGTTTTTGAAAAATTCATGGAAAGCTTCCGATGATTCAATGGAATTTAAAATTTATTCAACTCAATTGCTCGAAAAAATATACTCGGACATAACAAGCGATGAGTATGAATTCTTTGGAAATCCACTTATGATTCGATTGTTGGCGGAAGCATATTCTGATGATTTCCAACAATATGTAAATACTGTTCCATATAAACGTGTACAATATATTTTCGCGGCAAAAAATTTTAATGTTGTCTCATTGTTTAAAAAGTTTGTGCAGTTTTCGTTTCAAATAAAATGGAAGAAAAATAGATACCAAGATGCCTACCAAAATTTTGACATGCAAAGTAATGAAGAAGAGAAGCGTCAGTTGAAATACTTTATTATTGAGCATCAAATAGTTGCCTGCCATCAGATTATTTGGCATAGCCATCAGAAAGTAATCACATCGGCTGAACACGAAAAACTTTACAATGACCTCCAAATAAGAATCAAAAAAGGAAAAGAGCGCTCTCCTCTATTTAATATTTCCGATGGCAATATTAGATTCATACACTTATCCTTTGCCAAATTTTTTGCTGCGATGTATATATATGATTATATCCAAAACTGCAAAGCAATTTTGTACGAAACACTTGTGGATCATGAAACAGTCCGAAGATTTTTTTTTAAGCTAACTGAAGAACAGTATTCACAACAATCAGAGCAAATGATTGTTCTGAGCGATATTTGTAAAAAAAAAGCTGAGGTTGCATTCTGGGCATGTGAAGCAAGTTCATTAAAAGTGTTAAGGGAACTGCTACAAAAGAATGATTTCAAAACTAGAAAACACGAAAAATATGGATCTTTATTACACACTGCGACGTATGCTGGTAATTCTGAGCTGGTTTTATTTCTACTTGTTTATGGCATCGATGCTAATCTGATCGCCCATTTTGAGATATTTCATGGTTATGATAAACACCTCAATACAAGTCCTCTGCACATTGCAAGTAAAAAAGGACATCTTGAAATTGCTAAACTTCTCCTCGATAGATCTTCATATGTGAATCTTCAGGATGAAGAAAAAAGAACACCTCTCCACTATGCAAGTGAAAATGGTCACTTAGAAATTACTAAACTCCTCCTCGAAAGATCTGCAGATGTGGATCATCAGGATAAAAATAATAGAACACCTCTCCACTATGCAAGTGGAAATGGGCATTTAGAAATTGTTAAACTTCTTCTCGATAGATCTGCAAATGTGGATCATCAGGATGAAAATAAAAAAACACCTCTCAATTATGCAAGTGAAAATAGGCATTTAGAAATTATTAAACTTCTTCTCGATCGATCTGCAAATGTGGATCATGAGGATAAAAATAATAGAACACCTCTCCACTATGCAAGTGGAAATGGGCATTTAGAAATTGTTAAACTTCTTCTCGATAGATCTGCAAATGTGGATCATCACGATGAAAATAATAGAACACCTCTTCACTATGCAAGTGAAAATGGGCATTTAGAAATGGTTAAACTTCTTCTCGATAGATCTGCAAATGTGGATCATCAGGATGAAGTAAAAAGAACACCTCTCCACTATGCAAGTGAAAATGGGCATCTAGAAGTTGCTAAACTTCTTCTCGATGGTTCCGCAAATGTGGATCATCAGGATGAAAATAAAAAAACACCTCTCCACTATGCAATTGTAAATGGGCATCTAGCCATTGCTAAACTTCTTCTCGATAGATCTGCCAATGTAGATCATCAGGATGAAGAAAAAAGAACATCTCTCCACTATGCAAGTGAAAATGGGCATCTTGAAATTGCTGAACTTCTCCTCAATGAATTTGTCAATGTGGATCATCAGGATGAAAATAAAAAAACACCTCTCCACTATGCAAGTAAAAATGGGCATTTAGAAATTGCTAAACTTTTCCTCGATCGATCTGCAAATGTGGATCATCAGGATGAAAATAATAGAACTCCCCTCCACTATGCAAGTGAAAATGGGCATCTAGAAGTTGCTAAACTTCTTCTCGATAGTTCCGCAAATGTGGATCATCAGGATGAAAATAAAAAAACACCTCTCCATTATGCAAGTGAAAATGGACATTTAGAAATTGTTGAACTTCTTCTCGATAGATCTTCATATGTGAATCTTCAGGATGAAGAAAAAAGAACACCTCTCCACTATGCAAGTAAAACTGGGCACTTAGAAATTACTAAACTCCTCCTCGAAAGATCTGCAGATGTGGATCATCAGGATAAAAATAATAGAACACCTCTCTACTATGCAAGTGAAAATGGGCATCTTGACATTGCTAAACTTCTTCTCGATAGATCTGCAAATGTGGATCATCAGGATGAAAATAAAAAAACACCTCTCCATTATGCAAGTGAAAATGGACATCTTGACATTGCTAAACTTCTTCTCGATAGATCTGCAAATGTGGATCATCAGGATGAAAATAAAAAAACACCACTCCATTATGCAAGTGAAAATAGGCATTTAGAAATTATTAAACTTCTTCTCGATCGATCTGCAAATGTGGATCATCAGGATGAAGTAAAAAGAACACCTCTCCACTATGCAAGTGAAAATGGGCATCTAGAAGTTGCTAAACTTCTTCTCGATGGTTCCGCAAATGTGGATCATCAGGATGAAAATAAAAAAACACCTCTCCACTATGCAATTGTAAATGGGCATCTAGCCATTGCTAAACTTCTTCTCGATAGATCTGCCAATGTAGATCATCAGGATGAAGAAAAAAGAACATCTCTCCACTATGCAAGTGAAAATGGGCATCTTGAAATTGCTGAACTTCTCCTCAATGAATTTGTCAATGTGGATCATCAGGATGAAAATAAAAAAACACCTCTCCACTATGCAAGTAAAAATGGGCATTTAGAAATTGCTAAACTTTTCCTCGATCGATCTGCAAATGTGGATCATCAGGATGAAAATAATAGAACTCCCCTCCACTATGCAAGTGAAAATGGGCATCTAGAAGTTGCTAAACTTCTTCTCGATAGTTCCGCAAATGTGGATCATCAGGATGAAAATAAAAAAACACCTCTCCATTATGCAAGTGAAAATGGACATTTAGAAATTGTTGAACTTCTTCTCGATAGATCTTCATATGTGAATCTTCAGGATGAAGAAAAAAGAACACCTCTCCACTATGCAAGTAAAACTGGGCACTTAGAAATTACTAAACTCCTCCTCGAAAGATCTGCAGATGTGGATCATCAGGATAAAAATAATAGAACACCTCTCTACTATGCAAGTGAAAATGGGCATCTTGACATTGCTAAACTTCTTCTCGATAGATCTGCAAATGTGGATCATCAGGATGAAAATAAAAAAACACCTCTCCATTATGCAAGTGAAAATGGACATCTTGACATTGCTAAACTTCTTCTCGATAGATCTGCAAATGTGGATCATCAGGATGAAAATAAAAAAACACCACTCCATTATGCAAGTGAAAATGGACATTTAAAAATTGTTGAACTTCTTCTCGATAGATCTGCAAATGTGGATCATCAGGATGAAGAAAAAAGAACACCTCTCCACCATGCAAGTGAAAATGGGCATTTAGAAATTGTTAAACTTCTTCTCGATAGATCTGCAAATGTGGATCATCAGGATGAAAATAAAAAAACACCTCTCCATTATGCAAGTGAAAATGGACATTTAGAAATTGTTGAACTTCTTCTCGATAGATCTGCAAATGTGGATCATCACGATGAAAATAATAGAACACCTCTTCACTATGCAAGTGAAAACGGGCATCTTGAAATTGCTAAACTTCTCCTCTATAGATCTGCAAATGTGGATCGTCAGGATGAAGAAAAAAGAACTCCTCTCTACTATGCAAGTGAAAATAGGCATCTAGAAATTGCTAAAGTTCTTCTCGATGGTTCTGCAAATGTGGATCATCAGGATGAAAATAAAAGAACACCTCTCCACTATGCAAGTGTAAATGGGCATCTAGCCATTGCTAAACTTCTTCTCGATAGATCTGCCAATGTAGATCATCAGGATGAAGAAAAAAGAACATCTCTCCACTATGCAAGTGAAAATGGGCATCTTGAAATTGCTGAACTTCTCCTCAATGAATTTGTCAATGTGGATCATCAGGATGAAAATAAAAAAACACCTCTCCACTATGCAAGTAAAAATGGGCATCTAGCCATTGCTAAACTTCTTCTCGATAGATCTGCAAATGTGGATCATCAGGATGAAAATAAAAAAACACCTCTCCATTATGCAAGTGAAAATGGACATCTTGACATTGCTAAACTTCTTCTCGATAGATCTGCAAATGTGGATCATCAGGATGAAAATAAAAAAACACCACTCCATTATGCAAGTGAAAATGGACATTTAAAAATTGTTGAACTTCTTCTCGATAGATCTGCAAATGTGGATCATCAGGATGAAGAAAAAAGAACACCTCTCCACCATGCAAGTGAAAATGGGCATTTAGAAATTGTTAAACTTCTTCTCGATAGATCTGCAAATGTGGATCATCAGGATGAAAATAAAAAAACACCACTCCATTATGCAAGTGAAAATGGACATTTAGAAATTGTTGAACTTCTTCTCGATAGATCTGCAAATGTGGATCATCACGATGAAAATAATAGAACACCTCTTCACTATGCAAGTGAAAACGGGCATCTTGAAATTGCTAAACTTCTCCTCTATAGATCTGCAAATGTGGATCGTCAGGATGAAGAAAAAAGAACTCCTCTCTACTATGCAAGTGAAAATAGGCATCTAGAAATTGCTAAAGTTCTTCTCGATGGTTCTGCAAATGTGGATCATCAGGATGAAAATAAAAAAACGCCTCTCCACTATGCAAGTGAAAATGGGCATCTAGAAGTTGCTAAACTTCTTCTCGATGGTTCCGCAAATGTGGATCATCAGGATGAAAATAAAAAAACACCTCTCCACTATGCAAGTGTAAATGGGCATCTTGAAATTGCTGAACTTCTCCTCAATGAATTTGTCAATGTGGATCATCAGGATGAAAATAAAAAAACACCTCTCCACTATGCAAGTAAAAATGGGCATTTAGAAATTGCTAAACTTTTCCTCGATCGATCTGCAAATGTGGATCATCAGGATGAAAATAATAGAACTCCCCTCCACTATGCAAGTGAAAATGGGCATCTAGAAGTTGCTAAACTTCTTCTCGATAGTTCCGCAAATGTGGATCATCAGGATGAAAATAAAAAAACACCTCTCCACTATGCAAGTGTAAATGGGCATCTAGAAGTTGCTAAACTTCTTCTCGATAGTTCCGCAAATGTGGATCATCAGGATGAAAATAAAAAAACACCTCTCCACTATGCAAGTGTAAATGGGCATCTAGCCATTGCTAAACTTCTTCTCGATAGATCTGCCAATGTAGATCATCAGGATGAAGAAAAAAGAACATCTCTCCACTATGCAAGTGAAAATGGGCATCTTGAAATTGCTGAACTTCTCCTCAATGAATTTGTCAATGTGGATCATCAGGATGAAAATAAAAAAACACCTCTCCACTATGCAAGTAAAAATGGGCATTTAGAAATTGCTAAACTTCTCCTCGATCGATCTGCAAATGTGGATCATCAGGATGAAAATAATAGAACACCTCTCCACTATGCAAGTAAAAATGGGCATTTAGAAATAGCTAAACTTCTCCTTGGTCCTTCTGCATCATGATGAAAGAGATCACAATATTGAAAAACAATCTAGAAAGCAACGCTAATCGGTCTGTAATCATATTTGATGGTTTCGATTAGATTACTTTTTATTTGGTATTTGTAAAGGCGAACGTCATGGCAGTGCTGTGATAAATATTCGATTAATTAAGTGTAAAATTGTGCTTGTGCTATACCACGAATAGATCCTACGTGTAGTGATGTCCGATTTTCCCAACTAATCGATTATTTACTAATCGATTAGTTTTTTTTTTATTGATTGTAGTCAACACCGATTAATCTGCGTGAAATAATCGATTAATCAAATAATCGATTAATTTTAACACTACCAACGTCTCTAAGAAGGTGTTTTTACTAGCTGTAGATTATACATCCTTGATTCATGGGTAAATTATTGTTTCGAGATATAATAATTCAATAAAATACACTTTTACTCTTTAATGCTTATTAACATTCTTATTAGAGATATAGTGAGAAAAAAGACAACTTGCATCTTTACGACGAATTGATTATGTCTTTGGACTGCAATATCATTGTCTAAAAAATAATACTTACTCAAACCGAACATCTTCTCCAACAGATTGTAGGAATAGTATCTAGTTGAGATGCGGGCCAGACAAACAGTTTTTAATTAATCATTTTGTCAGGCTTCTGCATTCATTTTCCATCAGATGTCACTGCTGTTGTTTGCGGTGACATCTAACGGAAACTACGCATAATATGTTTTCCGTTCATTGTTCACAGAAGACAGTGCAGTGCAAAACTTTGACTTTAAATGATCTATATTTCTTGAATTTGTGTGGTTTACATGTACAACTTATCAAGTGACACATATGCGTCTTTTCAACTTTAGTTCCTTTGAAATTTCAATTATTATTAATTACAGTTCCTAGTCCTATCAGGTCTGTTTTAGAGAATGACTATTTATGACTACTATTTACAACTACAACTAACCTACAACTACTATATACACCTAATCTACTATATACAAATTGCTTATTAGAGCATGTTCTGATAAAATACATTTTTGTGAAAATTTAGTCTTAATTTTGTTAATTCTGGAATCTATTTTGGCAATGCCTGCCTCTTCGTGTAAATTTGTTATTCTAGTGTCAAAAGGACGATCAAGAACCATCCTCAGCACTCTATTCTGAGTGACCTGAATTTTGTTCCTGTGAGTCTTTGCACATGATTCCCACACCGGAGCTGCGTAGAGGATCGCAGGTGCTATAATTTGTTTGTAGACAGCCAGTTTGTTTACCCTTGAGAGGCGGGATCTACGGCTAATCAGCAGATACAGACACCTAACCAAGGCGGAACACTTGATTACGGTTTTCTCCACATGTGAGCGAAATAGGAGCTTTTCATCAAACAACATCCCGAGATAGGTTACTTCGGCAGACCACTCAACCCTTGTGCCATCCATGATTACAGTACAAGATGGAGCTGCTTTTAGTTTGGGCGATTGCCGATGGAGAAACATGATTGTTTATGTTTTGGAGGCATTGATTTTGGTTTACCACGTGGTGGCGCATAATCAGCAAAGGCGTTAAGGCATCGTTGAAGTTTGTTCGTTATTTCGTGAGGCATATCCTACGCAGGTGTGGAAGCTGCCTTCCTGCAAATTCGATTGCCGTCTATGGATGGCAATCGATGTCCGTTGGTGATTGAAACTAGATTGCGGAACAGAGACCGACGTTAAATAAAGGACAGAAGAAGAAGAAGAAGAAGAAGAAGAAGAAGAAGAAGAAGAAGAAGAAGAATGAGTAGTAGTAGTAGTAGTAGTATTAGTAGTAGAAGAATAAGAAGAAGGAGAAGAAGAAGAAGAAGAAGAAGAAGAAGAAGAATAAGAATACCTTTGCTGGAGGTAGTTACGGGTGATTTTAACCAGATGTAATGGGAAGTTGAAGTTACAAAGCTTGTACACAAGTCCGTCATGCCAAACATTGTCAAACGCCAAGCAACAAACTTACCCCTCACAGGAACTTGTCGAGCGTATGCCTCGTCAGCCACGGTTATGGCTTGGAGGAGTCCCTCCAATGCTAGGTCGATGTCCTACACGGTGTTAAGCGGCGGGTTGTCGATGATGTGTCTGTCTACCACGCGTGGGCCCAGTTTACGCGTTGGTACTCCTTGTGCAGACGTGGAGCAGGGGCCACGTTGTAGCCCAGTTCAGCCTCCACCGGTTGGTGGTCGGAGCTGAGTTCGTTCAAGGCTACCGGCTTGGACAAGCTGGTATTTGACAGGAACAGGTCTAGCGTCGATGGGTTGCCGCCGGTGAGATGAATGTTGGCTCATTCGAAAACCAAACGGAGTACAGCCCATGCTGCGAGTGGTCGAACAGCAGACAACCGTTCTGGTTCTGCTGGTAGTTCCGCCAGGCCTCATGGCGAGCATTTAGATCTCCTCCAACTACGAAGCGGGAACCGGTATGGGTGATGGTGGACAGGTCCTTCTTGAATTTAGCCGCTAGTCCACTGCTGGCGGCACACTGTCGAGGGCAGTAGACGGCGATGAACTGGACGTATCCAGTCGACGACTCCACCTCCACACCAAGGGCCTCGATGATAGTGGTGCGGATATGGGACAGAGTGTGGTATTTTATTCCTTTCTTGACGACGACCGCAACACCACCCCCCCTGGAGCTGGTACGATCAAGCCGAATAATGTTGTGGTCAGGCAAGCAGAAGCTGTCGCCGGACTTTAGATGGGTCTCGGTTAGAAGGCCCACGTCGATGCTGTGCTTGCGGAGGAAGTCGGCAAGCTTAATCTCTTTTGCTCTTACAGAGCAAGCATTCCAGGTGACGATAGTTAGCGGTTTAGAGGCCATACTGGATGATGAACTTACCGAGCATTTGGATCTGTTCGGGCTTATTGCGGTACTTACGAAGATCACCGGACATGTTGACGAAAATTTCCATCAGTTCGTCCGCTGAGAATAGATCGGGGTTGTTGTTTTGCGCTGCTGGTTGTCTCCAGAATTCAGGGGGGGATGGAGAGCTTTGGCCAGCAAAATCACCGGAAGTTGCTTGAGCGGAATGCACCCGCGAATTCGCTTGCCTTTGCCGAGGAGCACGAAGAGGCGGAAAATCCACCGTCCGAAATGCCGGGACTTTGTCCTTCTTGCGTCCTGGTTGGTTGTTAGTTGCCACCTGTTTTCGGATTCGTTTGAAGTCCTCACGTTTGGAGCACTGTCTGTCAGAACCTTGATGTGCATCACCACAGCCACGGCTCCATCCACAGGGCAGTCAGAAGTGGCATGTTCGTGAGCGCAGTTGCTGCAGCGTGGCTTGATGTTGCAGATGCGAGTGCCGTGTCCAATGTTCAGACATCGTTGGCACTGGGTCACATCGCGATGGCCTCCACGGTACGGCTCCCATCGTACGATGATGGAGTACATTGAGCGAATAGCCTGCAGCGCATTCAGCGTCACCTTTCCCTTCTGGAAGTACACCAGGAAAATACAATCCGGGTACGTCTTCACGTTTTCGTCTCTCCTAGTTATCCGAAAGACAGCGATTGGGGCCAGCTTGTACCGGTCCTTGAGTTCTTCTTCGATCGCCTTGGGATCAACATTCGGTAGACCTTAGTGCAGATCCTACTGATCTTGTACACAGCGGTGATTTCCCAGTGATGCAAAATCGCCAATGAGCGTCTTGAGAGGCACTACCTTCACCACCAGTTAGGTTTCGGCGTCGCCGAAATCACCGATGTCGCTGGCGTTCGTCGCGATAACATCATCGCGTCCACTCGTACCATCGGACTGTCCTTGATTATTCTTCCTCTTTTTCGTCCGCTTCACCGGGACTGGGTTGGTATTCCCAACATCGGTGGGAAGAGTAGCATACCTATTTGAGATAGATGCTGAGCTACCCTCATCACTGTTCTTCTTTTCCGCTTAATCACGGAACCTGCTCCAGGAGCGCTGTCTTCCCATCACACGAAGCAACCGACACTACGCGATTAAACTGCGAATGTTTGGAACAAAGTAGGAACTTTTGAACAACTCGACAGAGCGAGCAAAAACCGAACTGTACTGCTTGACGTTCAAGCAGAGAATGATGAGCCAAAGAACCAACAACTTTGGCTTCAAGTAAAATGTTCGTGAATGACGTTTCTGCCACCGGAGAGTGATGAAGATGTCGTGGAGTGAACGCCAGACCGGCTCAACCGGGTGGGACAGTCTGGCGCTAATATGGTGTAGCGAGCCTCTTGCAGGTCATCGTTCAGGATGGTGCCGTTTTGGTTGCGTCGACTGTTGCCTCAAGCCTGGTGTTTGGCGTTCAGGTCGCCAGCGATGATGTACTTTTCGCGCCGTCGAGTTAGTTTGATGATGTCCCTCCGCAGGTCTGCTGCCGACCCGTCGACTTGCTTGGGCAGTAGGTCACAATGATGGCGATAGGGCTGACAGGAGTGGAGACTTCTGCCCCTAAAGCTTCGATGGTTTTCCACTGGAAGCTCGGAAGAAGCCGAGAGAAGATGTTTCTCCTTATAGCAATGGCCACTCCTCCTCCCCCGGAGCTGGTTCGATCAAGTCTTAGAGGCCGGAAGTCAGGAAAGTAGATGTTTAACTCCAGTTTCAGGTGGGTTTCGGTGATAACGGTAATGTCGATGTTTTGTTTGTTGAGGAAGTTCAACGAACTCAATGATCTTGCTCTTGAGCGAGCAAGCGTTCCAGTTGGCGATCTTGATGGTTTCACGGTCCATAATTGTCAATGAAACGTGATGCAGCAAGAATCTGCTCGGTTTTGGTTCTGCAGGAGCGCTTGATGATGATTGCTTCTGCCATGATGGTAATGAGTTCCTCTGTTGTGAGTAGCTCTTCGTGGAGGCCCTTTTGCGGATTTCCATGAATTCCGCACGCTTCGGGCAAGACTTGCTGGTAGCTCGATGTGCTGCACCACAGTTGGCGCATTGTGGATCGGCGTTCTCCATCCTCTCACATTCTTCGGGTGCGTGTTGCTTGCCACATTAGTTGCAGCGATGAGCCATGTGGCAATTTTTGGTCCCATGCCCAAACATGAGGCAGTTTGAGCATTGGGTGACGTTACGGGGGCGAGGTTGGTAGCGTTCCCACTGAACCACGATGTGGAAAAGCGCCCGAATACACTGCAGGTCCTTCAAACACGTTGTGTTTCGCTCGAGGTGGACCAAATACAGCTGGTCACGGTACTTACGGGAGACGTCTTGCCGATTCATCTTTAAGACTTGCAACGGCTTTAGACCGTTCTTCTTTAGCTCATCCGACAGTGCGGCGATTTCTATGTCAGGTAGACTTCCTTGACATCGTGAGAGAAATATTCTCATTTTTCTCGCTTCAGCAGCTCTTCGATGGCGTTGTAGTACTTCCTTGCTGGTACCATCAGCATGATGCCTTCAGTGCACTTTAATGTGGACCGTACACGATTGCTTTTATTGAAAATAATCGTATTGTCAATACATTTTATATTGACGTCAATATTATTGTCAATACTTGTAAGTATTGACAATATTTCTTACCGTGTGGGGTTCACTTAAGCCTTGCTCGATGTAGAATTTTATTATTGCTCAGTCTCAGCAGAACACACAGCGAGAGACACCGAATCGGTGAATTCTGAGAGCGGAAGGGAGAGAAGTAGGTAGTTGTAATAAGTCGATGTCCCTTTTATTTCATAGCACTTGCAGCTCAGCTGCGGTGCTGTTTCGACGGAGGACTGTGGAACTCCGCTGCTTCTGTGTACAC